TGATTGACGGAATGTGGAAAATAAATTTTTAAACAAGCATCAGGGATGAATCAAAGATATTTCCAAACCATTTTGGCCAGACCATTTACTGAGATGGAAAGGGAATGAGAAAACACAGTTTTAAGAGGAATATAAAGAGTATAGTTTTAAATGATATTAAATTTGAAATGCCTTTTAAAAAATATATGTATTTTTATTGATTTCAGAGAGGAAGGGATAGGGAGAGAGAGAGAGAAACATCAGTGTTGAGAGATAATCGTCGATTGGCTGCCTCCTGCACATCCTACATTGGGGATCGAGCTCACAACCGGTCAGGCATGTGTCCTGACCAGGAATGGAACCGTGACTCCTGATTCATAACTTGGTGCTCAAACACTGAGCCACGCCAGCCAGGCCTGCCTTCTATTTTCAAAGGAAATTTATTGATTGATTCATTTGAGAGAGAGATTTGTTGTTCCACTTATTTATGCATTCATTGGTTAATTTTTGTATGTGCCTTGATCAGGGATCAAACTTGCAATCTAGGCATATCAGGGGACAATGATCTAACTCAGTGGTTGGCAAACTGCAGCTTGCGAGCCACATGCGGCTTTTTGGCCCCTTGAGTGTGGCTCTTCCACAAAATCCCCCGTGCGGGCGCCCACGTACAGTGTGATTGAAACTTCGTGGCCCACGCGCAGAAGTCGGTATTTTGTGGAAGAGCCACACTCAAGGGGCCAAAGAGCCGCATGTGCCTTGCGAGCCAGTTTGCTGACCACTGCTCTAACCAATTGAACTACCTGCCCAGGGCTATGGGTCCTGCCTTCTAGAGCCACCAAACTCTCCTTTCATGAGATCCCTAAGCCTGTGAGCCCTGAGAACACCCCTTAAATGAGATGAGATTGGCCTAGCCTAGCCATCAGAATTGAGGAGCAGTAAGATTTTCTCTCCCATTTCTAAAGGGATAGAACTGAAAAGAACATGGCCCTTGTTGTCACATGAATGAATGTGACTTGAATGCCAGCCTTGGATAAGTTATAGTCCCAATTCTGTCTCCCAAACTGAAAAGGTATGGATAGCACCACCTACCTTAGGGGTTGTTGGGAAGAGCAAATGGCAGCTTAGCACAGACAGGGCATCAATGAGTGTTAGCCAAGCCTTGGTAGCTCAATGCCTGCTCCTTGCTCAAACATTCATACAACATTGCCTAGTGCTGCTGTTTCTCTGCTGGCCTGAAAATTCAAACTTGTGTGGAAGGAATGTAGAAAAGAAAACATTGGGTGGTTTGGCTAGAGCATGATTAGTGCAGGATGCATTAACTAGATTCTCTGATTTTCAAAAATTTGAATTGTAACAAATTTTTTGATGTACTATTTCAATTTTTAGTAAATAAATATGTATATATATAGGGCATCTTATTTGACCCATCTCTCCCTTGGTCACTTCACTTGAAAAGTAGAGAATATAGTAATTGGATTCCCTACTTCATAGGAGTATTGGGTTAAATGGTTAAGATATGTAATGTGCTTAAAACCATGCCTGGCATGTAGCAAAGCATTTGCTATTGCCATCCCCAGTGCCTTGCTCCCTTCACTGTATCTTCAACACGTGCTGCCTCACACCTGGGGAAATGGAGGAGACATACATAAAAGTCATCACACTGGTCCTGGCATTCTATTATTCTACTTGTAAAAGTCTTGTGTAAAACCAGGTGTTTCCCTTCTCTAATTTCCAACTCTCTCCCACTCCTAAGAACATTTAAGTTTTAGGAACCTCCTGGGCCACTTCCAAATGCTAGATCAGCAGTTCTCTACCTGTGGTTCGCGACGACCCTTTCACAGGGGTCGCCTAAGACCATCGGAAAACATATGTAATTACATATTGTTTTTGTGATTAAACACTATGCTTTAATTATGTTCAATTTGTAACAATGAAAATACATCCTGCATATCAGATATTTACATTACAATTCATAACAGTAGCAAAATTACAGTTATGAAGTAGCAACGAAAATTATTTTATGGTTGGGGGTCACCACAACATGAGGAACTGTATTAAAGGGTCGAGGCATTAGGAAGGTTGAGAACCACTGTGCTAAATGGTCAAGCTACAGGGTGGTAATTTCCTTAGGCAAGCAAACACTTCAGCCCTCTAATATGGTATTTCCTGGGGCTGGAATATCAACAGGAAGTCCTGGGGGGGGGGGGGGCGGGGGGGAGAAGAGCTCCGCTTAAACACTCCTTCCCAGGAAGGGTTTGGTAAACTCACAAATTTGCCCAGCCCTGTACAAAACCCTGCAGTCTTCACATGTCCTCCCTGTTGCAGGACTCAGACAGGCAGCTACTGATTCTTGACCCTGTTCCTTTTCTCTGGGTTCTTGAGCAAATAAGAACTACAGATATGACTCTATGTGAGAAAACCAGACGGGCAAAATTTTGCACTTACAAAGCAGTTGAATTATTTATTGGCATTAAAAAAGCACTCCTTTAAACACTAAACTCTCACCCCATTTTATGAAAACTTAAAACCAAATTCTCCATGATCGTACACAAGTTAATCACCAGGAGCAAGAATTCGAGTTAAATTAACTGTCCTGCTATGAGATAAGGGGAAAGCGGGGGCGGGCGCAAAGTTCTTGCTTTCACACTACAATATTAAAAGTACAAGAATCTAACAATTCCTAGCGCAGCACAAAACCGCTTTCCATTGTTTCAAAGCAGCCATTTATCAATAATCCAAGAGCTAAGAAAATTTTCAGAAAACAAGGGTGTACCCTTTGGTTGTAAGCGTGGCCAGGAGCTAAGGAGCCAAGTTCTTAAGAAACGACGATTGGTTGACACATTCTTGGGAAAGCGCATTCACAGAATCTCCAGCATCCGGTCTCAGCTTCCCCATCTATAACATGCGGCACTGGTGACGGGGTGGGGAGGAAAGACAGCTAGGCTTCCAGATCGAAGTCATCGCGCTCCTCATTGTACTCCAGGACGTGTCGTTTGATCTTGGACGAGTCAACCCAGGTGACGAAGTCCTCCATGCTGCGTGTGACAAGGAAGGCGGGGTCGGTGACCACGTCGGGGCCCACGCGCACGTGGCCCTGCTCCACGAAGGCCACGGCGGCCTGGAGGTGCTGTGCCATGCGCAGTTTAAGGAGCACGGTGGGCAGGCGGCGGCGGCAGAAGGACGAGGCCGTGACGAAGTCGCAGAGTTCGAGAGAGCTGCGCGTGGGCACCAGGCCGAGGGCATACAGCTTGTCCAACAGCGATGCCATAATCGTTTTCTCTCATTAGATGTCTGTCTTTTAGGGACTCCCAAGGGAGTCTCCCCTATAAGAGCTAAACAGGTGAGTTGCGAGGAAGAGGGAAGATGACATTTGTTTGGTTGGGTATACGTAGTGCTAACTGACGGGTTCATTCCACTGTGCACTTCCAGGGGTCCTCAAACTTTTTAAACAGGGGGCCAGTTCACTGTCCCTCAGACCGTTGGAGGGCCGGACTATAGTTTTTAAGAAAAACTAGTCGGCTGCTAAGCAACAGGCAGCAGCGCAAAAACACGAGGCAGGCTGGATAAATTTTCGGAGGGCCGCATGTGGCCCGCGGGCCATAGATCGGCTCAACTGATTGTAGCGCGTGTAGTCCTCGCGCCGCTGCAACCGATAACGCCTCAACACACGCAGTTCGTGCAGGTTGTGATCAGTGACCTCCCAGTTCAGGAAATCCACCTGTTTCAACAGCTTCTGCTCGTGGAACTTCAGCTTCCTCACCATGATGGCGGATACCAGCTCCCAGGACCCCAGGCTGTGAGTTCCGGCTTCCGTGCGACTTCCGCCTTGGCGCGAGAAGACCCGGCTGCCCTCGCAACTGGGCCAATGAAAAAAAGGCTCACGACCACGTCCCCAATTTCCATTGGTGAGAGTGGGGCCACGCCCCCACAATGTATCTCGCGTTTTTCTCCCGTCACTCAAGAGGCTGGGGGCGGGGCGGGTGAGAGAGGGCCTCGCGGAGTCTGCCGGCCTGTGGGCTGACCTGGCAGTTCCCACAGATCGCCAGAGCCAGGTTCTTCACCCGGCGGGAGGAACGATTTTTCTGTGCTAAAGGGGCTGGGGATGCAGCGAACCTCTGAAATACAGATTCTCTGGCCGCTTCCTACAGGGCAGAATCAGGATCTACACGGGAGCCAACTGGAAATCTGCACTGTTGACAGGAGTGCTACTTTGAGAAACTTTTTAAATTTGAGAAACTTGGATAGTAGGTACAAGCCCGTAGCCTGCAGTATAGACGCAAACGAATTTGCTTGACGGTGGATATGTGGTCACTTAGGCTTGAGTTAACGAAGTTAATTCTGTTTCAGCTAGTTATATCTGTAGTTTGCATCTCAGTGTAGCGCTGCCCGACCAACCTCCTCATTTGCTCAAGCCTTTGACGCCACCTAGCATCTTCCCTAATCATTTTTTGTTTTGTTTTTTTTTTGTACACTTTTCATTGTCTTTTAAGGTGTAATATTTGATCTATGAAAAATAATATATATTTCATATGTAAGTTATAAAGTATGATGAATACTTATAAACCCAACAACCAGTTTAAGAAAATGTCACCTGGACCATTTTATCTACCTACTCTCCCAACCAGAGGTAAAGGTAACTGTTCTCCAGAATCTTTGTTTAAAAGAAAGAAAAATAGTTTTCTCATTATACATGCATCTCTAAATATGCATCCTTCCCACTCAAAGTGTAGCCTGTGCACCAGCAGAGAGGTCGTTGGAAATGCAGAATTTCATGCCCTACACCTGACCTACAGAATCAGAATCTGCATTTAACAAGACCCCCAGGTATTTTGTACATACACAATATTTGAGGAGTGTTGCTCAGAAGAAATCACACCATACGGAGTTTATTATATGTAGCTGTAGTTTTTGGTTTTTATAAATTTTTTTAAAAAAATTGATTTTAGAGAGGAAAGGTTTTTTTTTTTGTTTTTTTTGGAGGGGCTATTTTTTAGTAGTGCTGCTAGTAACATTCTTGTAGGTCTTAGGTTGCACATATGCAGTAACTTCTAGTATGCATCTTGGAGCAAAATTGCTGAGTTTAAAGTATGTGCATGTTCAATCTTATTAGACATTGCCAAATTGGTTTTTTCTTTTTTCTTTATTTAGACTATGAGGGTATGTTTATTAAAACTGGGGACAGTAAAACAAGGAAAGGCTCAGCATAAATGAAGTGACAGGAGAGCCTAGGCTGGGCTGCCTTAGCTCACTGGGAAGTCAGAGAAGGGGGCCTTAAAGATAGGTTCAGGGGGTTAGTCTGGGATGAGCTGCCCCTGTCCATTGCTCTCCTGGTTGCAAGTGTCCTGGGGACCCTTAGAGTTTAGGAGATGAGTGCCTGTGGGTGAAGAAGTGAGGAAAGAAGGGGGGAAGGGATGGCGTAGTGTGCTCCCTATAGGGAGAGTGCACTTATATTGCCAAATTATTTAACAAGAGGGTTGTACCAATTTATATTCCTTTGGTAATGCATGAGAGTTCCCTTTGTTCATTATTTTTAAAAAAAGCATAATTATGTTTGTCAGTTTTGACAATATTTTAAAAAATGTTTTTATTGATTTCAGAGAGGAAGGGAGAGGTAGAGATAGAGAGAAACATCAGTGAGAGATAATCATCCATTGGCTACCTCTTGCACGTGCCCCACTGGGGACTGAGCCAGAAACTGAGGCAATTGCCCTGACCTCGAAAGGAAATGAGACCTCCTGGTTCACAGGCCGATGTTCAACCATTGAGCCACACCAGCTGGGTGTGTTTCATTCTTGAGTGTTAGTTTTTAAAAATTTTTGTCAGTTTGGGAAGTGTGTGATGGTATTTCAATGTGATTTTAATTTTAATTTCCCTGATGAATAATAGTTTCATATGTATTCCCTCCTTTTTGAAATGCTTCTTCACGTCTTCTATTTTTTCTATTGGATTGTGTGGTAAGTAGAATAATGCTCCCCCCACCCCCAAAGATATCCACCCAGAACCTGTGAATGTTACCTTATTTGACAAAGGGGATTTTGCAGACATGACTAAATTAAGGATCTTTAAATCATGAGATTATTCTGGATTATCTAGGTGGGTCTCCTGTAATCACAAGGGTCCTTATAAGTGAAAGAAGGAGGCAGAAGAGCCTGAAGAGATATGTTGATAGAAGCAGAAGTCTGAATGATATGATTACTGGCTTTGAAGATGAAAGGGAGCCAGGAGCAAAGGAGGATGGTGAGCCTCTAGGAAGCCCGAAAAGGCAAAGAAATAGGTTTTTCCAGAAGGAATACTGCCCTGCTGACACCTTGATTTAAGCCCTGTGAGATCCAGTTTGGATTTTTGATCTCCAGTACTGTAAGATAATAAATTTGTGTTAATTTCTTACAATAATGCAGTAAAAAACAAACAAATAACCACTCATATAGATTGCTTGCTTTTTTTCTAATTGATTTGAAGGTACTCTTTATATATTATGGATATTAATCCTTAACCAGTTATATGTAATACAAATATTTTCACCCAATTTGCACTTTATCTCCACTTTTCATATTACCCTAGCCTCATTCCCTTCCAACTCTTTTCCCCCCCCATCTAACTCTTGCTCAACATGTCTGCAGCAGGACTCTTGGCTAACTTCCTTCTCCCCAGACAAACATGATAAATACGTAAATTATATATGTTATCAGGTGGTGTTATGAAACAAAACTCAGCAGGATTTAGGAGGGCTTGGGGTGAGGATGGGCTGTAATTTTAAATAGGATATGTTAGGGTAGGTCTTATTGAAGTGATTTTATAGGGGTTTAGCCTCATATATTTATTTAAATAAAAAAATTTTAAAATATTTTTTTATGGATTTCAGAGAGGAAGGAAAAGGGAGAAGAGATAGAAACATCAATGATGACAGAGAATCATTGATTGGCTGCCTCCTGCAGGCCTCCCACTGGGGATTGAGCCTGAAACCCAGGCATGTGCCCTTGATCAGAATCGAACCTGGGACCCTTCAGTCCCCAGGCCAATGCTCTATCCATCGAGCCAAACTGGTTAGGGATAGCCTTATATATATTTAAGGGAAGAGCATTTCAGGAAGAGGAAACAGTCAGTGCAAATCCCTTAAGACAGGAATGTGCCTGGCATGTCTGAAGAGGAGTAACAGCCATCTTGGCTGGAGCAGAGTGGGCTAGGCAGGCAAGAAAGGGAATTTAGATAAAGAAGCTTGTGGCCCTTGTAAGAACATTTTATGCTGAGAGAGATAAGGGCACTGCAGGGTTTTGTACAGGATTGACAGCTAATTTGTATTTTAAAAGGATCACCCTGATGCTGTGTTGAGAACAGATTATCTGGAGGTAGAGGTGGAAACAGACTACTAGGAAGCTGTTGCAGTGATCTAGGTGAGAAAGATAATAGCTAGGACCATCAGGGCAGCAGTAAAATGCTGATGAAAAAGGAGTCTCATGGTTCTTCTTTGCTGACTCCTTTCCTAAAGGAGGAAAGTTGGATGCCTGGATGGGGAAATGGATGCTGTTTCTGGTGCAGGATTCAGGGTCGCAGCAGGAAAAAGAGACCATACTCCAATTATAATAATGTGAAGAGAATTTAATAAAGGAACTTTTCCCAACAGAATGGACAG